GTTGTTGTAGTCGCGATTTTTGTTGAAGTTGTGGTCAGCGGAGACAAACAATCGCGGAATGGGTTTTGTTATTTGATCCCTTCATCGTGTTGCTTTTTTTTCTGTCACTGCTGTATTTTAATTAGGTAATCATGTGTGTATATTTGTTTGTATGTGTTTGTGTTTGTTTGTTTGTTTGTGTTTGTTTGTTTTTTCCAATAAGTATGTTTGTGTGTACGTTTATATGTATGTTTGTTTTTTATTTGTTTGTATGTATGTGTGAGTGAATGTTTGTGTTTGTTTGTATACGTGTTTTATGTAAGCATGTATATGTTTGTGTTTGTGATTAACTTTATAATTGTATGTATGTATGTTTGTAGATTTGTTTGTTTGCATGTTTGTATTATTGCCAACTAAAAAGCAGAGTAGATTTTTAAATTAATTAAAAAATATAAAATATTTTTTTTCAATATACGTTTGGTTCCTTGCGAAATTTGTTGTTTAGTTTGCATTAATTCTCAGTTAAAAAACTTCATCTAATATTATAGGCGCCAATGGTTAATTACTTGAAGAGTGAAGATTAAAATATTTTTTATAAAGTAGATGATATCATTGATATCAAGAGGATATCAGTGATAACGTGGCTAATAATACTGTCAATGAAGTAAGAATTATATCATTATAATTGATGATGGAGTTGGTAAGATTGATACCAGAATGATATTAATGATGATACTGAATTGATACTAATGATAACGTAGCCGATGATACTGGAATGATACTAATGATACAATAGATGGAGATAGTGATATTGGTAGTTTTAATGATGATAACACTGATAATGTATTTAGATAGATGATATATTGATATATTTGTTAATTATAATTTGTAAATTAAGATTTGTTTGATGGGGGAAATTTTTGTAAAAACTATTGAGATGATTTTGAAAAACGAACCGGATGATGATGATGATGATAAAACTGTTTATAACGGTGATTATGATGATGATAATGATAATGATAGTTCGGCTAGTAAATTTTTTTTAAATTAAAATTGTTTAGATATTTTTTTTGTAATTTTTAAAAGAAACATTTTTTTTGCAAAGTTGTTTGGAGGAAAAAAATTCTTTCAAATGCATCGTTTTTGTTTATACTGAAATGGTTTTCTCATTTGTTAATTATAATTTGTACAATGCCTGCTTGTATATTTGTATGTACGTCTGTAGGCTTGTTTGTATTGGTTGCTTATGTATGTATGAGAGTACGTTTATGTATAGTTATGCCTATGTATATTTGTTTTTACGTAGGCTTATGTAGATTGTTTGTGTGAATGTATGTTTATTTAGGTAAATGTATGTTTGTATGTCTGTATGTTTGTATGTTTGTTTGTATGTACACTTGATTGTAGGTTTGTTTGTATGTTTGTGTATACTTCAACAAGTTTCAGTAGTAATAGTGTTGGCACGGTAATCAAATAATTTTAAGATTGAATATTTGATGAGTGCGTCTAGGTGCACGGTATCTTTTTATTTTTGTAGTCAGTGCATCTACTGTCGCTACCGGTACAGCTGCTACTACTACTGCTGCTGCTGCTACTACTACTACTACTAGTATTATTATTATTATTTAATTATTAATTTTATTATTATTATTATCCTTTCTGTGTTCATAAATTTTTCCCCTTTCACACTGGTCTCCATCGAAACTTCGCCTCAAAAGCAACAATTGTTTCAAGAAGAATGTCGCAAACGATAAAGATTATGATGATGATGATTTTTTTGATCGCCATCATCATCCTCATCATCATTATCATTATCATCATCGTCGTCGTTAAAGAATCATTACTTTGATTGAAATATTTTTTCTTTAAAGGAAAAAAGTATTTCCATTTAATCTGAACGCTGTCATTTTGAATTCCACTAGACCATCTTTCTTCGTTCGTTCGTTCGTTCATTCATTCATTCATTCATTCATTCATTCATTCATTCATTCATTCATTCATTCATTCATTCATTCATTCATTCATTCATTCATTCATTCATTCATTCATTCATTCATTCATTCATTCATTCATTCATTCATTCATTCATTCATTCATTCATTCATTCATTCATTCATTCATTCATTCATTCATTCATTCATTCATTCATTCATTCATTCATTCATTTATTCATTCATTAATTCATGCATGTATTTGTTCATTTATCCATTTAATAATCCAAACATTAATCCATCAATCTGCTTTCTTTTATTTTCCTATCCGTCCTTCCATCCGATCTTCAGTTTATTTAGTCGAATTTCAGGAAAAAATTATGATGAATGAGTTTAGAATGATGACATTTGTGATGATGATGTTGTAGTGATGATGCTGTAGAGGTGAGGATGATGATGTTGTAGTGATGATGATGATGATATGGCAAAGGTGAGGATGATGATGATGGTGATGTTGCAGGAGTGATGATGATGATGTTGTAGTGATGATGATGATGATGATTATATGGCAAAGGTGATGATGACGATGATGATGTTGCAGGGGTGATGCTGATGATGATTATGAGAATTCTGATAAAAAAACGTTATACGATAACTGAGATGATAACAGCTGCAACAATGAAATAAATTTTTTTTTTCATTAATATCCTTATCATCAACATCATCACCATCATCGTCATCACCATCCTCACCATCATCATCATTAACATCATCAACATCATCATCATCATCATTATCCTCATCACCTTCATCTTCATCGTTCTAAGATTTTCTCTATTTTGTCCACTGGTATCAGATCTCGAAGAACACTTAAGAAGTAAAATTACCAAGAAAAATGTGGAGAAGATAGAAAAAAAATGAAAGAGGAGAAAAAAGAAAAAAGAATAAATAAATAAATGAATGAATGAAAGAAAATCGGAAGAATGAATGAACAGAGACGAAAAAAATACGATTTCTAAAAATAACGTCTGAAAAATGAAGTTTTATAAACTGTGTATGAAGACTCTAAATCAATAAATGGAAAAAGTTAACGTTAGATAAAATGAATGGGAGAAAAAGATAAAAAGCAAGAGAGATATAGAAAGAGAGGAAAAGGGAGAGAGAAAAAAATTAAAATAGAGATGAAGATAGAGAGAGAGAGAGTGAGACAAAAAGAGAAATGACTGAAAAAAAAATACTAATGAGAGAATTAAAAAGATACAAGAGAGAGAGAGAAAAAGAGAAAAAAAAGTAAAGAAATGAAACGAGAGAAAGAATGAAGCAAAGAAAGAGAGAAAGATTAAATAGAAATATCTGATGACATGTAAATAACCTGAAAAAAAGTTCACCACGAAATTCCATGCACGTTTCCTTAATTTATCTGACTCAATACATACAGTCTTCCATTCAACTTTTCATAAAAAATTTATCTCCTCCAGAATTAATTTCTTTATTTGCTTATTCTTTGGGATGTATTTGGTTAATTTATTTTCCTTTGTTAGTTAATTTTATAATGTTTTCTGCGTTTGTATCAGCTTAATTTTTTTTTTATTTTTTTTTTTTACAAAATCGAAATACAGATATGGATAGAATTTTTAATCAAATTTTATTATTTCCTTGAATTAATTTATCGCCGCTATTTCAAGATTTAAATATATTATTATTAATAAAATTTAGTTAAATTGCTAATTTTTATTACTATCGAAATTAATTTTTTTCTATTCTGTTTCTACAAAAGAAAATGAAATTAGTAACGAAATTCTCTAAAT